CTGCTGATGACTCCCATATCCACATCTCTCATCCTGGACTCTTCCCAGAACTGCACAGTGATGTTCCCACAGATCTACTCTACATTACGGAGCCTTATGGATGTCCCAGACTTAGCATGGCCCAAAACACACTCTTGATTTCTGTTTAGAAATGCTCCTAACCTGCTCTCCTTCATTACAGGAAATGGTACCATCATTCATCCACAGTATTTCTCACACTGCATATGGTGAAAACAAGGCCTTTAAACATTTCAGCCTGGGGCTAGACCCTTAGTACAATAGTTAAGCGCCGTGCATTGGGAGCTGGACCCCACATGGCTGACCACCCTTTGATGGCTTGAAAAACTCACCAGGCATGTGTGTATATGTGCCCCAAATTCTAACAGGATGGAAGAATGGAGGAAAGGGATGATGGCGTTCCCAAGCCCCACTGGGAATTGCTTTATCTCTCTCTTTCCCACTCTCTCTAGCAAGCACACACGGCCTTTGGCAATTAAAAACTTTACTCGACCTGTACTTTTGTGAAATAAAATAAAAATGAATTACTAGCAAAATGAAGTTAAAAAGACATGCAAAATTACTATATTTAATAGATGTAAAGTTTCCCTGTCGAATTACTAAAAATATTTCTTACTGGTTACTCTCAACTTCTGTACTTATGTCAAGGTGGAGTGGTGATAGCTCGCAGACTGGCACAATCCCTTAGACCACATTTTGAATGCACTAAGTTAAATCCTAAATCTAGGACCTATCCTGGATTCCTTTCACTCTCTGTCCCTGCCATATCCTATTTATCAAGCTTAAATGTCACCTAGCTCAAGCTGCCTCCCCACGCTATTTCATCTAAAATACCTGCTCCCCATATTAATTCTATGCACAACGTTGGTTCCTCGTCAGTATTTGTCTTGTTTATTTACTGAATGGTTGAATCTCTAAGTACTAGACTGCTAGCTCCACAGGAGCAGGAGCAGGGATCTTGTTTGTGTTGCTTCCACCTATATCAAGAGTACTGAAAATAGAGCCTGCCCCAGGGCAGGTGCTCAATGACTATCTGAAGAATGCGTCGATACAGGAATGGCATAGATGTAATCACTTGTTCTAGCATTACTGTAGCTTTGAGAAATCTGGAGTCATGTGCTTGGGGTAAGAGTGAAACCTTTGGTTAAACTCCTGACACTAGGGGCCAGCAGGTGGCACGGTGGTTAGAGGTGTTGGATTCCCACGTGTCTGACTACGGTTCAAGTCCTTGGTGGCTTACTTTCTTGCTTTCTCTTTCTCTCTCTCTCTGGTCAAATTAAAAATTAATAACAAATGGAATTAAATAAATAAATAATCCCCCCAAAACACCCCACAAACCAACAACTCATGACTCCAGTTAGCCATAACTTTATCATTGAGGTGAGTCCTATGCAGAGGGCACTGGGATACTCCTGAAATGAAATTTGGAAGCACAAGGCTGATGTACACCTACCTCTAGTCATCGATCTAGTAACTGAGTTCAGAACTCATGCATTGACAAGCTATTAAGTCATGTGACTTACATCCTCTAGTTATTGTCTACTACACACCATCATCTGAATTTGGGTAGAATTGGAATTTAGAAAATGTAGAAACCAAGTGTTTCTTGCTTTCAATTCATTGGAACCAATTTGAAATCTACTCCTTTGGCCACATCTCAGACTAGGTAAGCACATGAATCCACAGCTCCTTCAGACTGAAAAAAGTGATGAATCTTCAGTAAAGTTTATTAATTTTTAAACAAGATTTATTTATTTAATTTTATTTATTTATCTACTTATTTTATTTGACCAGAGAGAGAGAGAGAAAGTGAGAAAGCAAGCCACCAGGTCCAGGACTCAAACTGTGGTCGATCATGTGGGAGTGTCCAGTGCCTGAACCACCACACCACCTGCTGGTCCCAAGTTTATTAATTTTTTAATCAATTCATTCACATCAGTTACAGCAAAAGACTGTTCATCTGCATTAATGTCTTTGGATTCTGAAGCCTAATTTAAAGTATTAAGACTATTTTCAACATTAAAGGAATTTGTTAGAAAAAACATTAAAGCTTCTACCTACTGGAATTATATGAAATTGTCATTTTTTTTATTTTGAGAGGCTTTTGCTATAGGGCATATGCTCCCGCCAGAAAGACAGAGGCAGACAGAGAGATAGAAAGTGATAAATCACCCCTCTGGGGATGGCCACGCCACATTCCCTTCTTTTCCACTCTTCTCTCGGAATCTTGGGCACACATGCACACGTGCCTGGCATGAGTTAAGCCACTGCGTCCGAGACTCGAACTGCAGTTGACTACATGGGAGTTCAGCGACATAGCCATTACACCAATTGCTGGTCCCTGAAATTGTCATTTTTGAAGGCCAACAATGGTAGAGTATCAACAGTTTCATATTATTCAACCTAATAATAAAAATGACTATATAGTCCATAAATATATTAATGGTCCCATTGATTTGAAATATTTCACAGTCTTGTCAGTTTAAAATCATATCAAGAATATATTCTTTGTTGCACTGCATTTATGCTTCTAAACTGGTATTACTTTTCCTTTTAACAATTTTGGGTGTTGTTTATGTTTAGGAATGCTTAGGAGTAAGACGAACTACCATGTGAAATAATGGCTAAATAGTAGCCCTATTATTTTAAAAATTGTATTAAAAAATAATAATTCACACAGTATGCAATGTACACACTGATCCTAGAGCTCAGGAAATCTCAATCGTTTTTGTGAGAATGGCTATTCTCCATTTCTCTGAAGCTTGTGATCAAAGCATGCTTAGAGATGCTGACTGAGCCTGATTCTGAGAGTGGTTAGCAGTGATGAGAACAGGTGGACCATACTCATCTCGAATTAGTCACAGACTCTTGCTGTGGTTAAATCAGAAAGGAAATTTTTGTTTCCTAAAACTAGTTCAGTGCTTAATTGAAGAGTATGCTGGCCCAGCCTCAGTGGTACAGGTGGAGGTGCACTGGCCTGCAGACTGGAAGCCACGTGGCTGACTGCAGGGTGAAATCCCGAGTTGACCTGAAATACGCCAGACATAGATGTCCAACACACTGTCTAGCTGGAGGGCTGAGAGAGCGGTTTTGCATATGACCAGATCCTGTTGGGGGGGTGTCTTTTTCTCTCTCTCTCATTAAAAAAAAAAAAAAAAAGCTTGAGACCAGCAGTTGGCATAATGGCTATGTCGCTGGACTCCCATGTAGTCGATCGCAGTTTGAATCCCAAACCCAGTGGCTTAAACTTGTGCCAGGCACATGTGCGTGTGTGCCCAAGATCCCGAGAGGAGAATGGAGGAGAAGGGATTGTGGCGTGGCCATCTCCCGTGGGGGGGTTGATTTTTCGCTTTCTGTCTCTCTGTCTGTCTCTTTCTGGAGAGTGTACACGTCCTATAGCAAAACAAACAAACAACTCTCAAAAAAAAGAGAAAGAAGCGTAAAAACATGAATTCTCTGTTTTTCATAGTAATTTTTTCTTTTAACAAAACTAAGCATTTTACTGTGAAATATGACACAGAAGAAGGCATAAAGCAAAGGTACAGCATACCCTATGTCCAATAATTATGAAGCCAACACCTATATAATCACTATCAGCAAAGAAACTGGCCTTCGATGGGAGCCATAAGTGCCACCTGTCACTTCCTAATTATATCCCTTCCCCTCTCCTCCCACCACACCCAGCGGTGAGCACCGTGCAGACTCTCACGGTGATTTATCATTTCAGTTTTCTATTAATATTTTGGAAACAAAGATTAAAGTAAACAAAAGTTCCAATTTTGATCATGACCAACTTATATCTGTCTACCACTTGTGAACGGTTAGAAGGAATGGGGAAGCCAAGTGGCCTTCGCAGCTTCCTTTTCACTCACTAGAGATTTCCCTCTTTCCTTTTTCAATGCTACATATTCTGTTCCTCCACCTCATTTCCAGTCCCCACCTCCCAGGACACTCCCAGCACCCCAGCAGGCCTGACCAGGCAAGGACAAGGGCACAGGGATTGAGAGAAAAATGGGAAACTTCCAAGGCTTTGTATTTCATTTCCCGTGCCCACCCCTGGGAGGGTGGTTAATTTCTCACTTTCTCTCTGTCTCTTTC